AAAAAAAAAAAGAGGTTAGAGTGGGAGAGAGCCAAAGCATAAGAGACTCTTAAAAACTGAGAACAAACTGAGGGTTGATGGGGGGTGGGCGATGGGTATCGAGGAGGGCACCTGTTGGAATGAGCACTGGGTGTTGTATGGAAAGCAATTTGACAATAAATTTCTTATATTGAAAAATAAAATAAAATAATGTGTAAAGAGCAGCTGTTACACGTGGTAAAGAAATACTGCTTTTTATAAATAAAAGGTATATTTCAGCACACATTAAATATATTACTGTTAATTGTTAATGTGAAAAATACTAGCATACTTCTGAAAAGCCTCTCAAGTACTTCTAGTGCTGTATGTATGCCACACTTTGCTAACCATTGATGGTGTTAGTCGCCATACACAGACTGACTTCACATCCTTATTCTGGTTACGTGTGGCCAACGTAAAGCAACAGATTGCTTTACTTGCATTTGCTCAGCCAAAGGAAATGGTTGAGCTCTTGCTACCTTCGTCATCGTGTGGAGCAACCAATGCCCACGGTGACTGCCTACTGCAGAATAGTGTCCAGTAACTATCGGTCCTTATTTATTGTTGTTTTCATTATTTTAATCCTCAGATGTCCTTACTATCTGACGATAGTTCTCCTAAACAGGATACTTTACCCAAGGAAGATGGCTTAAAAAATGGTGACATAGATATAGACTTTAGTCAGCTGAAACTTGATGAAAAAGGTCAGTGTAAAGACGTAGTCCCATGTCATTGCCAGAAAACTCAATAAAGTTTAAAATATTCCTAGTGCCCATTCATTAAATCAAAATAAATATTTTTAATTTACTGAATGTCATCAGTCTGATTATGAAAGTGAAATACATTCTTGTTACATCTACTTAACATCTGTAAGGTTATTTAACGCCAAATAATCATACGGGCTTAATCTTCTGCTTCATGTTCTCCAATCTGAAAAGTCTTTCTTCTGTCCAATTTGCATCTGTATAAGTCGTACTTTGTTTTTAGTTTTGCCCTCTATGGAAAAAGATTATAATCATTCCAAAAAGATCATTAATTCAGTTTTTAATGAAATAGAGCTGCAGTACTGTTTAATCCCTTTTTTAAATGTTTGCTATTATTCTGTGTATAAAAATTTAATTTCACTTAAAGATCAGAAAAGTAAGGCCTTCAATAAACTGGGAATCAATGTTAATTAAAGGAAAAGTGGCCCCTCTCCCCCACTCAAGCTTTCTCTCTCTTTTTCCCTGTCTAAAATTTAAAAAAAAAAAAATTTTTTTTTAAAGGGTGCCTGGGTGGCTCAGTCAGTTGAATATCTGACTCTTGATTTTGGCTTAGGTCATAATACTAGGGTCGTGGGATCGAGCCCCACGTGGGACTCCATGGTGAGCTTGGAGCCTGCTTAAGATTCTCTTTCTCCCTCTCTCCCCTGCTCATGCAGTCTCGCTTTCTCTGAAATAAAAAAGTAATAAATAAACAAATAAATACTGGGAAGCAGATCACTCAGAATAGTACTTTTTATTCAGGGGCTACTGAAAAACCCTTCTCAAAGAATCTTTATGCTTGGTTTATACTTTGCTGATACTTATTTTTACCTAAAACTAATAATTGTCATCATGCTGATTCATTCTAAGAAGCTTGTTAGATAATTTCTCAGAGAGTTTAACATCATACATAATTCATAGCTACTTCTGATTAATTTCTCAGGCTGCAAAAATTACCGAGAAGTAAGTGAAGACTGGTTTGATGCTAAAGAAAACCTGACAGGAGTTGACTTGTCAGGAATACAAGAAAATCAAATAGAGAAGGGCAAAGGGGATCCAAAGTTTACACAAGGTTGGTTGTTAACGGTTTACTAAGAAATCCGGAATTATGTAGCTCATCTTGTAGCCATCTTTTGTGTTATTCTGGGGACTAAACTTTTAATATTTTATTGTTGTGGCTTTCCTTTATAAATATGAAAAATAAGACATTGGACATTTGGAGGTCAATTTTTCTAGAAAGTAAATCCGTTTAAACTGTTCATTTCTCCTTCAGAAAACTGCTAAAAGCTTAAATCCCAGATTTGGTTCGCAGGTCCTCCCCCACCGCTCAAGGCCAACACCAGTGCTCTTTCAGGGTGCTCTTTTCCCTTAACCCTCAGCAGACGTTTTCTAGAAGGAGGGGTATGTGGTGGACAGAACCAGCTTCCCAGTTTGTGTCTGTCAGGCACCCAGTGCTGTCTCTCAAATGGGCATGAGAGATCAAAACTGCCTGCTTTCCCTCACTTTCGTAATTTATTTCGTTTCAAGAATGTTTTCATCTTTAGATAGTCTTTAATTGCTTATAACAGTTGTAATTTCCTCTCGTGTCCGTGATCATTGCCATTCTGTCATTTCTAGATATATGCTCCCTTCCTTTATTTTTTGCCTATATGTTTTCATCGATTTTTTCTTTTATTTGACATAATGGCAATGGTTTTTAGGGGGGTCTTTTGGCTTGTATAAATAATGCTTACTAATATTTTTAAATAAAATATAAGGAAATTTTACCTGAAGGTTCTCCAACCTGCATTAACCACTCTTAATATACTTTACCATCAATTTATGCATTTCTTTATGCATATATGTAATACACATATACAGTTTAACATAAATGACATTATTTCATCTACTTGTATCGCAACTAATTTTTTTCCTTTCCTTGCGTTATTTTTGTCTACATCACTTGGCACGCACTGTGTACATATCTTACTTGATCTGTGGACTGCCTTCCCACAGTAGCTCAGAGGGGTTGGATTTTTCTGTATTTCGTTCACTACCTATACCCAGTGCCACATACAGTGTTCTGCCCGTGAGGTGTTTAGTGGTCATGTTTGTATTGAACTAGTGAAAGGAGAGTCTCCGTTGGCCCACTGTAGCTCCTTGTTCCCTCACCCCAGTGTAAAAATATACATATAATTAGTTACACTGATTTCTCTACAACAGTACATTATAAACCAAGAGATTAAAGGAAGTAAGTTAATAAAGAAGGTTGAGTTATTATTGCCTAGAGATGAAGGATTCTGCCTGAATCCCAGCAGCACCACTTAATGAGATTTGTGACCTAAACTCCTAAGACCTTGGCATCCTTCTCTACAGAATGGAAATGATGGCAGTTGCTGGGTCACGGGGTGCCCATGAGCATTACACGAGGTGACGCGTATGCAGTGCTGGGTATATTAGAGAGTGAGAAATGTGAGAAAGTCAAACTTAAAACTCTCCCACTATCATATACAAATAGGAAACACATTTTTTTTTTAATTTTTTTTTCAACGTCTTTTATTTTTTATTTTTTTTTTTGGACAGAGAGAGACAGAGCATGAACGGGGGAGGGGCAGAGAGAGAGGGAGACACAGAATCGGAAACAGGCTCCAGGCTCCGAGCCATCAGCCCAGAGCCTGACGCGGGGCTCGAACTCACGGAGCGCGAGATCGTGACCTGGCTGAAGTCGGACGCTTAACCGACTGCGCCACCCAGGCGCCCCAGGAAACAAACAAATTAAAGCTACTCTAAGAATTCATTCAACAGATATCTGTTGTCTACCACTGATGTGCCAGCTTATAGGTTTGGACAGTAAATTGAAAGAGTCTCAGTTCAGTAAATCCTTCTTGATTTCAGACCAAGTTGTCTTCAAAATAGAGACTGTGAAAATGCATTCTAAGAATTCTCAATTTTATCAAACAAAAAATACATCTGTAATCCTAATATTTGTGGTTCCCAAAAAGTGCTATGTAAATCAAGTTATTTGTACCCCCCCCTCCTTTTTTTCAACGTGCCGTTACCACTGCCACAGGCTGATATTTTTCTGATTTTGAAGGTTTTGTTGGTGGGATGCTTCCCCAGCAAAGGAATAAACATAAACCCTGACCAGTGTTACCATGGGGGCAGCTAGGATCCTGTGTGCATCCAGCATCGTAGACAGCACTTCTCTGCACCAACGGCAAGGGAAAGACGCCTTTCTTGGTTATGATGTACTCGATTATCTGATTAGACGTTATTGACCCGTTTTTGAGCTGCAAGAGGCTTAGTATCAACCGATCCAGTGTCTGTGTTTTGAGGATGATGGGTTTAAGGCCCCCAAACCTTCAACCTGTACTCTAGGCTCTTGGTCTTCAGTCTAGTGCTGATATTTGGTAATAACTGCATACTAAGCTTTGTAATCATAAGAAAAAAGGTTTCAGGGTTCTTTTCAGATATCACAACAATAACGGTCATCTTCTGTTCTACATTGTTTCTCTACAAGCAGAAATGAAAAATACTGAACCTTTACGAAAAGAGAAAGGTTATTTGATACATGTTGGTGGTCTCTGCCCTTCAGTCTCTGAGGTATGCCGGGACTCATTTTTTGAGTTTCATTGTACAACCCATGAATTGTTCATATTTCGATTATTTTTCTCCCTACCTTTCACAAACTTTTATTTTTCTTTTAGGCTGACTTAAGGTCTCATTTCCAGAAATACCAAGTTTCTGAAATCGCAATCTATGATTCAACTAATTACAGGTATGTTTCCCACATTCAGTAAATGTGCGCTTGCTGGGTGTCTGCCGTGTGCCAGAAGTTCTGTAGTGGACATCAGCTACAGCCCTGCTAAAATCCAGGGCCACTGCCACAGAGGTTTCCCAGCCTGGTAGAGGGAGTCACGTTAGCTACGTTAAACACATTAGCTAAAGTCACTAATTGGAGGCGTTTGGTTTTTTTTATATTTATTTTTGAGAGGGAGGACGAACAGAGGATCCGAAACAGGATCCATGCTGACCGCAGAGAGCCTGCTGCTGGGCTCAAACTCATGAACCAAACCGTGAGATCATGACGTGATCTGAAGTCAGATGCTTAACTGACTGAGCCCCCCAGGTGCCCCAGTTGGTGCTGTTCTTTTTTTTTTTTTTAAGTTTATTTATTTATTTGGGCAGGAAGGGGCAGAGAGAGTAGGAGAGAGAAAATCCCAAGCAGGCTTCATACTGTCAACATGGAGCCCAGTGTGGGTCTCGAACTCATGAACCATGAGATCATGACCTGAGCTGAAGTCAATTGGTGCTGTTCTGAATCAAATCTTTCATTGTACCTTTTGATTTGCCATTAATTTAGCTAGACGGCTTATGGTTTGGGTTCTGTTCCCAGGTGCATCAGTAGCTTGCTGAATAAATTTGGGCAAGTTACTTAACCTTTCTGTACCTCAGGCTCCCATCTGTAAAGTGAGGATAACAATAATACCTTCATAGCTGTGAAACTATCATTAAATAAGTAAAGCAATATGAGTAAAGCCTAGCATCCAATAGTGCTCAGAAAATTGTACTTTTATTTTTTTAATTACCTTTTAGTTGAGGCTTTTATATTTTTTACATCGTCTGCATATAGTCATTTCCAATATGTATCGTGCCACTTTCTGTTTTGTGATGATTGTAGGAACATTCAAAAGTATCAAATAGTAATGGTGATAATTTCATGGAAATGGCCTTAACTGTTTTATCACTAATGATGATAGCTTTCTATTTCAGATATAAAAGTCTTTACCAATTAAGAAAATATCCTGTCTGTAGTTGGGGGTTGAAATTTATTAAAAATAGTTGTTGAATTTTGTCTTGAATGGAGTCACTCAAGATCATGTGCTTGGTTAATTTGACCTATTGGTATGTTGTTAATACATTTCACTACATTAAATTAGTTTTGTAATCCTTGAAGTATCACTTAATGTGAAGTATTTTTTTAGTATTTGTTGCATCTTTTTAAAAAAAAACTTTGTTTTTTTTTATTGCTTGAAGTATTACACATTTTGTGTGGAAATTTAGAAGGCACAACCAAAAGGAAAAATACAAGAGGTTATGAAAATATATTTGTAGTCCTGTCTTTTGAAAACAACTCCTTTTCAGATTTGGTGTATGTCCTTCTGTTAACATGCCTAGAGCCGGTGCTTACAGAAAGGTGACTCATTTTCAGACGGATTGTTAAAATTCTGGCTGGATTTTCTGACTTCTTTTTTGGCCCTTTTATTTTGTCCCTATCAAGGTCCTGAGGACATTCTCTTACATATTCTGCCAAATGTTTTTAAAATTTGCCTTCCACAGTTTAAGCCTTTGATCTACCTGGAGGTTATGTTTGTGTATAGAGATTAATTCTAATTTCTTTAGAATGGATAACCAGCTGTCCTAAAACAACTAATCTGTGTTGGTCTGTCAGATAGCAACTTTGCAAATGTTTCACAGTAAATTTTAATATGAAATCAATAGAGAATTCATAAGAAATGCTATCTTTTATTTCCCCTCTTTAATTTGTTTTATTCAGTTACTCTAAATAAATATTCTTTCTAATTCTAATCTAAAGTAAGTAGAGTAACTTTTTTATTTTTAAGAGCAGCTATCTTGTAAAAGATACCTATTTGTCTTATCCAGTAGTTACAAAGTGAAGTTTGAGGCAATTTAAAGTCATTAACAACCTTCTGGTTTTCTGCTTTTATGTGTTAGGTATGCATCCCTTGCTTTTAAAAAAAGCATTGATGCGAAGATGGCCGTGAAAGAAATGAATGGGATAGAAATAAATGGGAAATCAGTAAATGTGCGTCTTGTGAAAACTCCTGGAGAATATACATCATCTCTTTCCTGCAAAAATGGAATGGAGAGAAGCACCAGCAAGGAAATTAGCTCAGCCTCCTCTGTTTCGAGATTGCCCAGAACTAGGCCAAGGCAGCTGGGATCTGAGCAAGACAGTCAGGTTAGTTTTCTTGATGGATCCCGTACATGGTCTCTGTATATGCCAGGCTGCAATAAGGAGCTTTGCAGAACAAGTAACTCTAGAATCAGGGATCTTGAAGTGGGAATGAGAATGTTAACCTGAACCTTGGACCCAGCCTAACCTGTTCTTTGTGCCAGTCCAGTAGCTCTGGGCGGTGGAGGGGGAATGTAGATCTTTGTAGACCTGGCTAGAGACTCATTTCTCTTTACCATTAATTAGGCTCTTCACCAGTGCTTGCCAGTATTTTTTTGTCTCTTATTTCGCAGACAGTATTGCTGTGCAAGTAGTTAATTACGCTCTCATCATCCTTTTTACACAGTTAATCTTAGCACAAAATTGTTAAAACCACAAAATAAAGTGATTGTGTTATATATGCCCCCGATTCTGCCTTATCAGGGTCTTAAAACACCACATGAACAGGGATGAAGTCGCCTCATTCACTCCCATCTCTCCACTGCTCAGCAAAGTGCCTGGCATTCTAGAACATCATTCCAGAATATTGTCTTATGTTCCATTTCCTTTTCGTATGATCTCACTTCTTCCAGAATGTCATATAAATGATACCATGTACCTTATTTGTCTGAGCTCCTTTGAGATTGATCCATATTGTTGTGTGTATAGCATTTCATGCTGTTCATGTTTGGACCATTTTTATTGGCTTTTTTTACTTTTTTTAGGTTTTCATTTAAATTCCACCTAGTTAATATGCCGTATAATATTAGTTTTTGGTATGCAGTGTAGTAATTCAACACTTCCTTATATCAACCGGTGCTCATCATGGCGGTCATATGTTGACATATGTTCCATCTATCCCTACTTTGTTGAGGGTTTTTTTCAAGAATAGAGGCTGTATTTTTTCAAATGCTTTCTCTGCATTTTTTAACAGGATCATATGGTTCTTTTTTTCTTTATTGATGTGGTATATCACAGTTGATTTGCGAATATTGAACCAACCCTGCAGCCCAGGAATAAATCCCACTCGGTCATGGTGAATAATTCTTTTAATGTACTGGTCCATTCGATTAGCTGGTATTTTATTGAGAATTTTTGTATCCATGTTCATCAGGGATATTGGCTTGTAATTCTCTTCTTTAGTGGTGTCTTTGCCTGGTTTTGGAATCAAGGTAATGCTGGCATCATAGAATGTGTTTGGAAGTTTTCCTTCCACTTCTGTTTTTGAGACAGTTTGAGAAGAATAGGAATTATTCTCCTGGGAAGCCATGTGGCCCAAGACTTTTGTTTGTTGGGAGATTTTTGATTACTGATTCAATGTCTTTGCTGGTTTTGGGTCTGTTCAAGTTTTCTATTTCTTCCTGTTTCAGTTTTGGTCGTTTGTGAGTTTCTAGGAATTTGTCCATTTCTTCCAGATTGTCCAGTTTGTTGGCATATAATTTTTCATAGTATTCTCTTATAATTGTATTTCTGTGATGTTGGTTGTGATCTCTCCTCTTTCATTCATAATTTTATCTATTTGGGTCCTTTCTCTTTTCTTTTTGATAAGTCTGGCTAGGGATTTATCAATTTTATTAATTCTTTCAAAGAACCAGCTGTTCGTTTTGTTGATCTGCTCTACCGGGTCTTTTTTATTTCTACATTGTTTATTTCTGCTCTAATCTTTATTATTTCCCTTCTTCTGCTGGCTCTAGGGTTTATTTGCAATTCTTCTAGCTCCTTCAGGTGTAAGGTTAGGTTGTGTATTTGAGACCTTTCTTGCTTCTTGAGATAGGCCTGAGATATTCTTCCCTCTTAGGACTGCCTTTGCTGCATCCCAAAGGTTTTGAATTGTGTTTTCATTTTCACTTGCTTCCAAGTATTTTTTATTTTTTCTTTAATTTCCTGGTTAACCCATTCATTCTTTAGTAGGATGTTCTTTAACTTGCATGTATTTGAGGGCTTTCCAAATTTTTTCTTGTGGTTGACTTCAAGTTTAATTGCATGTGGTCTGAAAATATGCATGGTATGATCTCAGTCTTTTTGTACTTGTTGAGGGCTGATTCATGCCCCAGTATGTGATCTATTCTGGAGAATGTTCCATGTGCACTTGAAAGTAATGTATATTCTGCTGCTTTATGATGAAATGTTCTGAATATATGTTAATCCCACGCAGTCCAATGTGTCATTCAAAGGCACTGTTTCCTTGTTGATTTTCTGCTTAGAAATATCTGTCCATTGCTGTAAGTGGGTGTTAAAGTCACCTATTATTCTTGTATTGTTATCAATGAGTTTATGTTTGTTAATTAATTGGTTTATAAATTTGAGAGTTTCACATTGAGGGCATAGATATTTATAATTGTTAGATCTTCTAGTTCATCTGATAAAAGTATGGCTACTCCAGCTTTCTTTTGACATCCATTAGCATGATAGATGGTTCTCCATCCCCTCACTTTCAATCTGCAGGTGTCTTTAGGTCTAAAATGAGGCTCTGGTAGGCAGCATATAGATTGATCTTGGTTTTTTAGCCATTTTGATACCCTGTGTCTTGATTGGAGCATTTAGTCCATTTACATTCAGAGCGATTCTTGAAAGATACACATTTAGTGCCATTGTGTTAACCCATTGAGTTCGTATTTCTAGTGATGTTCTCTGGTCCTTTCTAGTCTTTGTTGCTTTGGTCTTTTTTTCTCTACTCAGAGAGTACCCCTTAAAATTTCTTACAGGGTTGGTTTAGTGGTCACTAACTCCTTTAGTTTTTATTTATCTGGGAAATTCTTTATCTCTCCTATTCTGAATGACAGCTTTGCTGGTTAAAGAATTCTTAGCTGCACATTTTTCCCATTCAGCTCGTTGAATGTATCCTGCCACTCCCTTCTGGCCTGCCAAATTTCTGTGGACAGAGCTCCTGTGAACCTGCTCTATCTTCCCATGTAGGTTAAGGTGTTGTTTCGTTTTGTTTTGTTTTTACCTTGCTGCTTTCAGGATTCTTTCCTTGTCCGAATATTTTGTGAATTTGACTGTGATGTGCCTTGGCGATGGTCAACTTTTGTTGAATTTGATGGGAGTTCTCTGTGCTTCTTAGATTTAGATGTATGTGTCCTTCCCTAGATTAGGGAAGTTTTTAGCTACTTTGTTTGAATAAACTTTCTGCCCCTTTTGCTTTCTCTTTATTTTCTGGGACTCCTATGATACAAATATTACTCCTTTTTAATAAGTCACTGGGTTCCCTAAATTTACCTCCGTGATCTGTTAGCTTTCTCCCTCTTCTTTTCAGCTTCATTATTTTACATAATTTCATCTTCTGTATAACTGATTTGCTCCTCTGCTTCATCCATCCTCATTTTTATGGCCTTCATTTGGGTTTGCATCTCAGTTATGGCATTTTTAATTTTGGCCTGACTAGATTTTAGGTGTTTTTTTTTTTTTAATCTCTGCAGGAAGGAATTCTCTGATGTCTTCCATGCTTTATTTAAAGCCCAGCCAGTATCCTTATAACCATTGTTTTAAATTCTAGTTCAGACATCATACTTATATCTGTATTGATTCAATCTCTGGCCATGAGATCTACTTCCTATTCTTACTTTGGGGTGAACTCCTTAATTTTGTCATTCTGTCCAGAAAGAAAAGAAGGAAAACAAAACAAACAAAAAAAGAAAAAACAAAAACAAACTAGATCCTGGGTGTGTTTAGGTCTGCTTGTAAAAAGAATCTAGATTCAAAAATTTTAAATAAATGAAATGAAAATAAACAAAAAAAATATCTAAAAATATGTACATAAATTTTAAAGGTAATAAGAAATTTAAAAGGATTTGAAAAAAATAATAAAAAATTTAAAGAATAAAAGTAAACAGCAAGCTAGATCCTATTTCCCCTGGAGCTAAAGCTTTGCAGCACTATGATCAGTAGACTTGGTGCAAGAGAGGGGTTTATACTGGTCTTCTGAGGGAGGGGCCTGCTGTGCTGATTCTCAGGCTGACTTATTTCAGTGGAGATGCACCTCCAGGGTGCAGGGGGGCAGGCAGGTGTAAGTGGTCCTGTCCTCCACTATGTGGCGCTGTCTTGCCCCCTGAAGGCTTTCATGCCTGATGGGTGGAATGAATATGGCCATGCCCTGCTCTCTAGCCCAGGATGAAAGATTGCATCCCTACTCTTCAGGGAACCCTCACAGAAGAGTAATCAGTCACCCTTCTTGCATCCCCCAGTTTCCGTCAGAACTCTGCATTCACCCTGCCTGTGTCTGAACTTTTTTATTTCAGATGTACAACTGAGTTTCAAAACTCCAAATTTTAGGCACTCCTGCTTGGTTGGCACTGTTCCTCGTGGGGAGGGTCTCCCCGCACTTTTGCCATTTGCTTTCTGACCTTGCAAGGAAAGTGGTGGCACGACCCCGCAGTGGTTTGGAGTTTATCACAAAATAGAGCAGACAGCCTGCACCCTGCTCGCTCCCCTCAGCGGCCGTCCCGCTCCTGTGCCTGGAACCGTGCAGCACGTTGGCACCACCTGTTCTTGCGACCCAGGGGATCCTCAGACCACACTGTCACTCGTGCAACTGCACCCCACTTTGCAACCTGAGCACCTTTAAGCCAGGCACATCCCCCACCATAGCAGGGTACTTAAAATTCAGATTTTGCCCTCTGAAGCTTATACTACTTTGGGGTAGCCTCCATAAGCAGGCTCACTCCCCACGGCTGGACCCACAGTTATATCTCCCCCAAGTCAACTCTCTATACCTGCTACCTTCCAGAAGGTGGTCACTTTTCTACTTGTAGACTCACAGGTTTTGTTCTCTCTCCACTTGATTTGTAGGGTGTACAGAAGGATGTGATAACTATCTAGCTGTGTTGGAGGGATGAGATAAGCTTCGGGTGCCCTTACGCTGCCATCTTGACTCCTCCCTCCGAGTTAATTCTTATTTAATATGTGAGATATTGTCACCTTTCTTTTCTCAGATTCTCAAGATTTTTTCATCACATTCATTTATTCAGAAGAGGCTTATTGTCTACAATGAGAGGCAGAACTTCTCTGCTGCCTACTCATTATGTGACTGGGCAGATTACCTAATCTCTGTGTCTGAGCTTCCTTATCTTAAAACGGGAATAATAGTTCCTACTTGGCAAATGTTGTGAGGTTTAAATGAGGTTAATACAAAAAAAATTCTTAGAACCATGCCTGGCACAGAAAATGCACTCAGTCGATGTAACTATTACTGTTGTTGTTTGCCAGTAATTGGGCTCTTTCTTAGAAATCTCCTCTTTTCTGTGGCTGAGCTATCAATTGTATCCCAAACCTTTATTTATTCAAGTTATTATACACCCATTGTATACATAAATACTCTAAGCACTGGGAAGGCAGCAGTGAACAAAACAGACCAAAAAATAATGTGTTCTTATACAGCCTAAAGCTAGTGAAGGAGATACAGTATTAAGCAATTAAGTAAAATAGGTAATATTCTGGGATAGGTATAATATTTTTTATATCTCGGCCTGTCTTTTTATTTAAACTTTAAAGTCTCAGCCCTTCCCTTTTTAAACTTTTATGGGATATACAGTAGTTTCCTACAATTTATAGCCAACTTTCACAGTTCATAGTAATTAATCATTTTATTTTCATCTGTTTGATTGGATTGTAACTTTCATAAGTGGAAGGGGTTCTAATTTACATCACTAGCTTTCCCTCCATATTATGTGGCCCACTTCTGGACATAGCTTGTATTGATTATATATTTAGTAAATAAAATGTAGGATATTTACAGTTACTGTGTAAACCAACCTTCCTCTGTCAGGTTGGGTAAGAATTAAGCCTCCGTGCTCTAAGCCTAAGATACCCACTGTATATGGTGAATTAACCTCTCTTCTGTGCACCAGAAATGGAACTAGCTATGTCCTATCTTTGAGGAAATTGAGAAAGTAGTTGATACCTTTGCTCTGTGGGTCAGATGAAGAATCCCAGTTGAGAAAGACTGATTTAGACATAGCTTCAAATATTTTGTAACTACTATTAGAGAACAGGTGTGGCATTTTTTTTAAGTAACATGGCTCCAAACATGGCCAAGGAAATCTGGTTGATGTAAATAATCCCAAATCAAAGTAAATTTCTTAGGAATTTGGATTTTACCATTTATAATTTTAAATTCTGTTTTAATTACATAAGCTGACGTGTCTATATAATGGTTCCTGCTTTTAAGAAAACTTTAACATGCTTACTTAGGGTGTCAAGAAGAATTGTAAACAGATTGAATCTCCTAAATTATTACCTGATACTCCTATTCGATTCATACCTCCAAATACGTTGAATCTGCGTAGCTTTACCAAAATCATGAAGAGACTGGCTGAACTACATCCAGAAGTTAGCAGGTAATGAATGACTTCAATTGTGTTTTAAGTGGTTTTAGTATTTTTATGTACAAATATAGTTCAATGCAATAGCTTACCCATATTTAGAATGTACTGCTTTGGAAAGGACAAGTGCTCATGTGTGTTTTCCTTTTGCATAGAGACCATATTATAGATGCTCTTCAGGAAGTAAGAGTAAATCATAAAGGTTTTCTGAATGGCTTATCTATTAATACTATTGTGGAAATGACTTCATCTGTTTTGAAAAACTCTGATTCCAGTTAGGAATAAAAGAAGCAACAAGAGGTAAATTAAGCATATCTTTTATATTTAAATATTACGTAAACATTGTAAGCTATTGGGGCGCCTGGGTGGCTCAGTAGATTGAGCATCTGACTTCATTTTGGCTCAGGTCATGATCTCAGAGTCATGGGATTGAGCCCTGTGTTGAGCTCCGTGCTGAGCATGGAGCCTGCGTAGGATTCTCTCTCCCTCTGTTCCTCTCCGCCACTTGTGCTCATGCATTCTCTAAGATTAAAAAAAAATTTTTTTTAAGCTATTGATTTTGTTTTCAAATAGAAATAATATTAAATTTAAAAATAATGATATTATAAAATTAAAAAGCAAATACACCGTATTAGTTAACTCTTAATGCAAAACCAGTTACCCAAAACTTGATTGGCTTACACAACATTTATCATCTCATAGTTTGCAGGTCAGGATTCAGCAGTGGCTTAGCTGGGTGGTTTTAACGCAGGGACTCTTGTGATGTTGCAGCAAGGTGTTGCCTGGGCTGCAGTCATCAGGAGGCTTGACGGACACTGGAGGATGTGCTGCTAGGACGGCTCATTCCCAGGACTGTTGGCCACATGGGCCTCACTGCATGGGCCTCTCCTTGGGGCTGCAGTATCTGTACGTTGTGGCAGCTGGCTTCCCCAGAGCGGAGCAAGATGGACGCTCCAGTTTCTTTGTGACCTGTCACACTCCATGGTTTCTGTCACGTTCTTTTAGATGTGAGTCACTGTGTGCAATCCATACTCCACAAGAGGGGATTAAGTTCCATCTCTTGAAGAAAAGTAGATCAAAGAATTTGTGTATATGTTTTCTAATTACATGCACCAACATAGGATCTTTTGTTATAGTGAATGGGGATTTGTTTTCACTTATAGCTGTCTAGGTGATTAAAGCCAGCTTTTATAGACAGCAGCTCAAAAAGCCAAATAAATTTAAAGAATATCTGTTTAGGGGCGCCTGGGTGGCGCAGTCGGTTAAGTGTCCGACTTCAGCCAGGTCACGATCTCGCAGTCCGTGAGTTCGAGCCCCGTGTCAGGCTCTGGGCTGATGGCTCAGAGCCTGGAGCCTGTTTCCGATTCTGTGTCTCCCTCTCTCTCTGCCCCTCCCCCGTTCATGCTCTGTCTCTCTCTGTCCCAAAAATAAATAAACGTTGAAAAAAAAAAAATTAAAAAAAAAAAAAAAGAATATCTGTTTAAACAAGGCACTGGGGAGCTGTCGAGGTAATGAGGAATCGGTGGGCCAGGGTACAGCGATGAGTCTCAGGGAAACGTGCCCAGTGTCGGGACCACTTTTTCCGTGCTATTATTGGCAGAGGGGGAGCTAGTTTAAGGGACCCTCGGATGGCATTGAAGCCAGGGAGATGGGGCGTTGGTGAACTCTCAGCATTGGGTTGGAACCTCAGCAGGTTAAGTAACTGAACCAGAAACAGAGTTCCTCAGAGAGACTGTAACTCAGCTTCAGAAGTTATTTCCTAAGTTGGAGGGATCTGGGGTTATTTCTTTCATGCACCTAGAGGAAATGAAGACAAGAATTCTCTGGAATAAAGCAGTATCATTTTAGGCTTCAAATTATTTCTGCCAACAATTTTGCACATACCGGTTATTTTGTAAATAAGAGTGCACAATCCAAAATAACTAATAAATGAAGTGAGACCACATGAATGAAAATTAGCATAAACACTAGATAATAGAAATTACCCACAGGGACTCCAAATGTTTAAGTTATCAGACACATTAAAAAAATATATGCTTATAGGGATGCCTGAATGGCTCAGTTGGTTAAGCATCCAACTCTTGATTTCAGCTCAGGTTGTGATCTTCCAACTTGTGAGACCAAGCCCTGAGTCGGGTTCCCACCCTTGACAATGCAGAGCCTGCTTGGGATTCTCTCTCTCTCTCTCTCTCTCCCTCTCTCTCTCTGCCCCTCCCCGGCTCATGCTCGCGCTCTCTCGCACACGTGCGCTCTCTCTCTCTCAAAATAAATAAATATTTTTTAAGAAAGAAGAAAACACATATTCTTATATGTGGTAGACTGTTGCAAAAATGGCCATAGCTGTTCTCTTCCCTGCACTCATGACCGTGTGCAATGTGACTTTGAGGCTCCTTTCATCAAGATGTGCAGTCTGTTTTCCCACCCACTTGAATCTGGACCAGCCTTTTGACTTGCTTTGACAAGTTGTGCCATTTCGAAGCCTGATCTTCAAGAGGACGTGATCACTCTGCTCTCTGAAACCACACGAAGCCCCATCTGCTAGAGGACAAAAGATTACAGGGAGGACAGCCAAGGCATTCCAGCCTGTAACCAGCTGCCCCCAAACGTGTGACTTGGCCTAGATCCGGAGATCACCTCCCCAGCCTGGCAGCTGCCCCTGAAGGCCCTAGTGAGCCTGACCAGGACGAGAAGAATCACTCCCCTGAGTCCAGCCCATTGCTGAACTGTGGATTTATAGGCTTGAATAGATGACCATTGCTTCAAGCTACTAAGCTTTGAAGGTGATTTATTACACACAAAAGCTAACATTCAGATTTATTATAGTAAGGGGAGCAAAAGACAAGATTGAGAATTTCAACAGAGAAATGAAAATCTTTTAAAAATGGAAATTCCACTAACAAAAAATGAAAAACTAAAAGTACTGAGTTAATAGGTTCCATGGCATCTTGGGCAAATAGTTGAAGTGAGACTTAGAAAGATGGGTGAGAAAAAAACTGTGGAATGAAGCAGAGAGAGAGAAAAGGTTGGAAAACATGAGAGAGAAGGTAAGAGAGAGGCACTGTGAGATGCTCACTGTGTGTGCAACCGAGTTTTAATAGGAAGGAAAGAGAAGGAAGAGGGGCGCCTGGGTGACTCAGTCGGTTAAGCACCTGACTCGATTTTAGCTCAGGCCATGTTCTCACAGCATGTGAGTTCAAGCCCCCATTGGGCTCTGTGCTGACAGCACAGACCCTGCTTCAGACTCTCCCTTTCCCTCCCTCTCTGCCCTCTTCTGCTATCTCTCTCTCTTCCTCTCTCAAAATAAATAAACTTAAAAAAAAAAAAGGGGAAAACAGAACAGACATAATTTTGGGGAAAACAAGATGGCTGAAATATTGTTTTAAGTGGTGAAAAACATCAAGCCACAAATTCGGTAAAATCCTATTCAAATCCCAAGCAGGAAAAATAAAAAGACTTCAGTAGATGAGAGAAAAACTGCTTAATAAAACAAAGCTAAAAAGAAAATGTATAAAACAGCTAGAGGAAAAAGAATTTACCTAAAGAGTACAACAATTAGATTGACATCTGATTCTTAACAGAAGCCATCAAATAATTCTGCAAACCTTGGGTTCTTTACTCACAAAAAGAGCCTTCCAGAATAAATGTGAAATAAATATGTTTTTACTCAAGAAAAAACTAAGATAATTTGTTTCTTAGAAAACTTGTTACAGTAAAGAAAATAATAAAGAGTGTTCTCTAGGAAGAAGGAAAGTGATTTAATTTAATTTAATTTATTTATTTATTTTGCATTTTTTTAAAGTTTACATCCGAATTAGTTAGCATATAGTGCAACAATGATTTCATGAGTAGATTTCTTCAATGCCCCTTACCCATGTAGCCCATAACCCCTCCAGTAACCCTCGGTTTGTTCTCCATATTTAAAAGTCTTTTAGGTTTTGTCCCCCTCCCTGTTTTTATATTATTTTTTGCCTCCCTTCCCTTGTGTTCATCTGTTCTGTGTTTTCAAGTCCTCATATGAGTGAAGTCATGATATTTGTTTTTCTCTGACTAATTTCGCTTAGCATAATACCCTCTAGTTCCATCCACGTAGTTGCAAATGGCAAGATTTCATTCTCTTTGATTGCCGAGTAATACTCCATTGTGTGTATGTGTGTATATACTCCATGTGTGTATACACACACACACACACACACACACACACACACACACA